GCCCATTACAGCTAAGGGACCAGAAGGTGTGCCTGGCCTGTTACAGCTAAGGGATCAGAAGGTGTGTGTGGATCGTTACAGCTAAGGGACCAGAAGGTGTCCCTGGCCTGTTACAGCTAAGGGACCAGAAGGTATGTCTGGCCTGTTACAGCTAAGGGACCAGGTTTGTGTGGCCCGTTACAGCTAAGGGACCAGAAGGTATGTCTGGCCTGTTACAGCTAAGGGACCAGGTTTGTGTGGCCCGTTACAGCTAAGGGACCAGAAGGTATGTCTGGCCTGTTACAGCTAAGGGACCAGGTTTGTGTGGCCCGTTACAGCTAAGGGACCAGAAGGTATGTCTGGCCTGTTACAGCTAAGGGACCAGGTTTGTGTGGCCCGTTACAGCTAAGGGACCAGAAGGTATGTCTGGCCTGTTACAGCTAAGGGACCAGGTTTGTGTGGCCCGTTACAGCTAAGGGACCAGAAGGTATGTCTGGCCTGTTACAGCTAAGGGACCAGGTTTGTGTGGCCCGTTACAGCTAAGGGACCAGAAGGTATGTCTGGCCTGTTACAGCTAAGGGACCAGGTTTGTGTGGCCCGTTACAGCTAAGGGACCAGAAGGTATGTCTGGCCTGTTACAGCTAAGGGACCAGGTTTGTGTGGCCCGTTACAGCTAAGGGACCAGAAGGTATGTCTGGCCTGTTACAGCTAAGGGACCAGGTTTGTGTGGCCCGTTACAGCTAAGGGACCAGAAGGTATGTCTGGCCTGTTACAGCTAAGGGACCAGGTTTGTGTGGCCCGTTACAGCTAAGGGACCAGGAGGTGTGCCTGGCCTGTTACAGCTAAGGGACCAGAAGGTGTGTATGGCCAGTAACAGCAAAGGGTCTTCCTAATCAGCCGTCTTGTTTTCAGACTTGTCACATTACATTTGTGTTGCGGGAGGTCCTTCCGCCCCTCCAACCAATAGCTGCTGTGATACCAGCCCATTGGGGCGTGGCCTCTCCCCCTTTATCACAGCAGCTATTGGTTGGAGGGGCGGAAGGACCTCCCGCAACACATTTGCTTGAACAAGAGTAATGTCCTAAGAAGATAGTTGACTGTTTGTCAACCATCGTTTATTAATAAATCATTTCCCATCATCATTAAACTGCTACATGCAGTATCCATAGTTCAAACTTCTGATTGACACATTGAAAAATAGCCGATATCAGCAAAGATAGATTGATACCTGTCTGCACGAGTGTGCTCACACCTGTTCCCAATGTGTGCCATACAGCTGATTGCTGCTGCACGAGTGCACACATGCATATGTGCCATACAGTGTGATGGCTGCTGCACGAATGCATGTGTGCCTGCATGCATGCCATACAGTGTGATTGCTGCTGTGTGAATGCATGCATGCATGTGTGCCATACAGTGTGAGTGCTGCTGCGTGAATGCATGCATGCATGTGTGCCATACAGTGTGAATGCTGCTGCATGAATGCATACACGCATGTGTGCCATACAGTGTGAGTGCTGCTGCACGAATGCATACACACATGTGTGCCATACAGTGTGAGTGCTGCTGCACGAATGCATACATGCATGTGTGCCATACAGCTAGATTGCTACTCATAAGCATTTACACATGAGGCCTTAGTACTCTAAACAGGATACCTGGGAGTTTTCCTTTAAGCCCTGAAAATAAACAATAAATCTACATAGAATAGAAACTTAATAATTCCCAATCTGGGCTCTTCAAACCTATGTAGATGTGGAACATGAGGAAGTGATGCATATTTCTAGTAATTTTAAGAAATATGGATTTTGATGAAAGATTTTTCACCTAGGGAAATTCTCAGAAATCCACAGGATGACCCCAGCTAAGACTCCTAGCAATAGTAGACAGGGTGCCTGAGCTGGCCTTTCCCTATAAACAGATTAGTGACAACCCTAATTGTCATCATAGAGCCTACATTCAGTAACTGATGGAAGCAGATGCAGTGATCCACAGCCAAGCACTGGGCTCAGCTCCTGGAGTTCAGTTGAAGAGAGGGAGGAGGGATCATTTGAGTAAGGTGGGGCTCAAGATTGTGATTGGGAAACCCACAAAGGCAGCTTGACCCGAGCTAGTGGGAGCGCTCAGACTCTGAACTGACTGCTTTGGCTCCTCTCAATGTGGGTCACAGTTATGTGACTTGATATGTTGGGGAGGCCCCTGGCAGTGGAACCAGGACTTACTCTGGGTACATGAACTGGCTTCTCAGAGCCCATTCCCTATGGAGGGATACCTTGCTCAGCCTTAATACAGGGGAGGGGCTCAGTCTGGCCTCAACTTATCTCAGACCTTGCTGACTCCCCAAGGAAGGCCTTACACCCTTTGAGGAGTGGATATGGGGTGGGATGGAGAGAGGTGGGGTCAGGAGAAGAGGAAGGAGGGGGAACTGGAGCTAGTATGTAAATTTTTTAAATTTAAATAAATAACAAAGAAGAAATATGGAAAGCTGAAGAAAGTAGAGTCAGCCAGATTCTCACCCGAAGCCCTGCCCTCATCTGTCCTGTGTCGCTCTGTGCAAAGAATTTATGGACTAGTGTGACTGAACAATTCTCTCTCTCTCTTTCTCTCTCTCTCTCTCTCTCTCTCTCTCTCTCTCTCTCTCTCTCTCTCTCTCTCTCCCCCCCTCTCTCTCGGTGTTTGTGTGTGTACACATGTGTAGTTATGACTGGATTTGTTTTTTTTTCCCCCTCAAGTCCTGAGGCTCAACATTTATAATGATGTCTGATATTTAAGGGGCTCCATAACAGTGTGTGCAGTTTGCTGATCACAGTATTATTGCCATTTTATTATAGATCTTTAAGGATTCTAATATTTTCATTCTTAGGGATTCATATGTTTTTGAGCATGTGTGTGTAAATGGGTGTGCATGCTTCTACGTCTGAAGGCAATAAGCACATGTGTGCACATGATTGTGGAGGGAAGCCCAAGGGTAACCTTGAGTGTCATTCCTCAGAATGACAGTGTATGTCGCTGGCCTGAAGTTCCCCAAGCACTCTAGGCTGGCTGCCTGGTGCTAGGACTGCAGCCTGCAACTGCTTCTTTACATGTAGGTGCTGAGGGTTAAATTAGTGTCCCCATGCTTGTACTGCGAGAAATGATCAACTGACCTTTGTCCCCAGCGAATGACTACATTTGTTTTTTGCCAAATGGATATGACATAGTTTATTTAGGTGTTCCTTCTAGTTGGTGACTATGACATTAATAAAAAACAAAATCTCCAAATAACAATGTAGCATTAAAGTTTTTTCTCCATTAGGATTGTCTCTTTATGATTTATTTCTAGAAGTGGCAAACCTGAATAAAATTATAGAAATATTTAATATCACATGGTTCAAATTTTGGATTGATTTTTGTCAATTTTATACCAACTGGAAGTGCCACTTTTAATAAATAATTCAATCATGTTCTTACCTTTTAAAATGGGGCATGATGCAGGCAGACATAAATGTATGCTCATATATACGTGGGCACATATGTGATTCTTTGTAGCTACGTAGTGATGTTTCATTTTATTAGTGGTTTATATTATTTGCCAGTAAAGGGGATTTCTAGTTCCTGAATTGTTTTTATTTTCTAATATTTATAGAAATCATCATTTTATTTCAAGAGTTGCTTATACACCTTTGATTGGCTAGCTAATCATTATTGGTGAACTATTTTAATGTACAGAAAATTTCCATTTATGTGTAATAGAGAAGACAAGATCAACAGTGTTTCCTGAAGTTGTCCTGCACACACTGTGAGTGATGGCGCTCATGTGAGCCTTTGACTACATTGCTCTGACCACCTCTGCTTTAGTGGTGTTGGGGCTGGGGCTCAGTGCAGATAACAGTGTTCTCAGGCTTGTGTAAGTAGGGGAACTGGAGCAAGAGGGTGAAACTGATGGCTTGCATTTTTCGGTTGACTTACTGAACCTTTTCCCTAGGCTTCTCAGAAAGTTAAAGTATTTTGAATATTTTTGCAATTAAAATTTCTAGTTATTTCTGTCTGTGCTGGCGGTTCGCTAATTTTGAGGTGATGTAACCTCGGCTTCCAAACAGCTCATAGTTTTTAACTTGACCTCTTTCACTTTTTTACAAAATTTTACCTAATTCCTCAGGGTGGATGTATTCCTCAGAATGTTCAGCCAATTCGGCATGGGATCTGACCAATTAGAGTAGGCGTTAGCCATAAGCAACCGACATCTGGAGAGCTTCTTGGGCTGTGGTTTTCCTACCTAAAACTTTCTTTTGGTGGGGCAGCCTGCTTATCTACTCAAATTGTGATAGAAACGTCACATGTATTATCCAATTCAATTTTATGAATTTAAATATTATCTTCAAAAGTTACATTTGGGTCATCAGATCTTTTTTCCTTTGGTGGTTTGATTAAATATTTACTTGAAGTTCCTGCATACTTCTTCCTCTCTTGTTTATTTTAAGAATGAGGTTTCCACGATTTAAATGATTACTATTTAAGAGCCAGTACTTAGACACTTGGCTGCTCTCACTTCTTCATGTGCGGACTTGGCTTGTTGTTATGGTTAATCACCATTAGCTGAATCTGGATGGAGATTTTTCCCACTTCTTTCCTCGGTCTGATAGGGTCGCCGATGTATTGCATCGCATGCTTAACTTAGGGTAGAACACTTCTGTCCCTGATTATAAGGCTTTTTCTGAGTCCATGAATTGATTCGTGACAGAAGTTCCCTTTTTGTATGACATCTTTCATCTTGCATTAATATATAAATGATTTTGATACCTCAAGGTGAATCCATCAATTTGAAAACAGACATCTGTAGAAAGATTCAGAGAAGAATACTTGTTATTGAGTGAATTTAACTCAGGGATCTTTTACCAAAATTTTTGTACAAAACACATCTTGCCTTCAGCGTAAAGCAGTGATTGTGCCCCTTCCTTTATGTGTGTGCTTTGTTTGCAAATCAGAGTGCTAATTTCTCAATCTTCCTCTCCCCTTCTCTGTCTTCCTTCCCGGGTCTCCAGTGGATGTGAAATCAGAGGTCCCTATGGGCCTGGAGCCCATCTCACCTTTAGACCTAAGGACAGACCTCAGGATGATGATGCCCGTGGTGGATCCTGTCGTCCGTGAGAAGCAGCTGCAGCAGGAGCTGCTTCTCATCCAACAGCAGCAACAAATCCAGAAGCAGCTCCTCATCGCGGAGTTTCAGAAGCAGCACGAGAACCTGACGCGGCAGCATCAGGCGCAGCTGCAGGAGCACATCAAGGTAGCAAATGTGTCTTTGTCTGTCCTTCTCAGTCAGGGCACCTGCACCCCGCTGTGGGCCCAAGACCAGCCCACGGGAGCGCTGATGGGCAAGTTCACTGTGGATAAGACATGGATGTGTGTGTGGCTTGACGGCAATTGTGGTTGTGCTAGTTGGAAACGTGGTTAAGTACCCGGTAAGAGTGGCAGGAACTTCCCATGCGCGTCCGTACCCTCTCTCCCATGTGTTCCTTTTCCCTGCGTAGCCACCACCAAGAACCACAAGCTGAGAGAGGTCCAGGTTATGCTACTAAAGAACCTGTGTGCCCTGCTCATCAGGAAGGGTAAAGTCATCCTGTGAACAGGAGCAGTCTGAGTCTCAAGATTGTTTTCTTCACAGTCTAGGTCAATACAAGTTTTTCCTTGTAGAAAAGATTATATGGCATATAATCAAAATCAAAATAAAATAATACAATGAAAAGTCAAAGGGGGGTTATAGCGGTTATATTTTTATATGCAAAAGTGGAATAAATATTTTAATGCTTTTATAGACTGTTAAGTCAGGGGAAATATAAGAAGAGCTCAGATTTTTTACTGACATCTGATGATTGTGTGTTCACTGGAATATGCCACTGTAGATTTGTCTGTCTTTTGGGTGTTTGTTTGTTTTAATAATTGGCAAAGACATTTACCAACAGGGGTCTTATAGGGCATGGCAGCACATAGCTCTAAACTCAAAACTTAGAAGTTTTAGGTCTGGGCTGACAAATGAGGCAACGTTTTTAAATTGTAAGAAAGCACAAGGATGTTTTGAGTCAGTCAAATAGATATTTGATTTGAATTTATTATTAAAAGCACAAAATATCTATAATAAAATTTTACTTTATAATCAACTCTTTCAAAGATGACTTAAGGGTAATAATCATAATGCATAGAATTATGCATTTTGTCATATTTTGCTATACTGTATTCTAGGCACATAATCTCATGTGTATCAAGTACAGACACATGAATGTTGTATCAATATAGATCATGAAGTTATAACACTAAATTACAACGTCTAAGAAGATAGAGCACTATGTTCTTCCCATTTGTCTTGTTCTGCAAGACATATTATCTGTGTAAAAGGCTCTTCAATGCCTGATATAAAATATAATCTCTTGAATGTTGTATACATAAGAAATAAATAAATCTAAATAAAAATATTAAAAAAAATAATCTCTTTCCTTAACTAACAAAGTTTATTAAACACTTTCATATGATTGCTCCCTAAAATACCTTAAAAATAAGAATGAAGGATTTTGTGTGTGTCCCCAATGAAATCATTATCTCATGGCTATATTTAAAATATGAGTGACCTTCAGTTAGTTTGTACATTTATTTTTTAATGAAGGCCACAGCATTCCTTCGGTTTGACCCTTGGAATGGTAATGGAAGCATTGCTATCTAGATTGCTCTCCTTCCAGGCACGGCAACTGGGCCAGGAGGCACGGGTGTGATACACGCTTGTCAACTTGCTTCAAGAGCCGAGTAACTGTATGGTTCATTTTCATTTGTATATGAGTTCTTCTCCTGGAGTATCAAGCCATGCTGATAAGCTGCTTGCATCGGTTTCCTTCAGATTTGTTTCTTTTTCATTAATGATTGGTGCCATTGTTCTTGCTGAAGCCAAGTGTGAGTAATTTACCATTTGATCACTAAGCACCTAAGAGCAGCAAGTAGGTGATTGCTTCTGTGGCACAAACAAAATGATCTGGCAGGTTGATCGACGTCTAGAAGAGGTTGGACAAGTGGCTCTTGAGAGAGTTAGGATCTTGAGGTGGTTAGAAAAGAACTATAGCTTTAAGCAGATGTTTTTTCTACGTACAGTGTTTTTGTGTGAGAGGCAGAAGACCTGTTGGCATCCTCCTTTTAAGATTAGGAAGTTAAATGCGTCCTTAGAATTTTTATTTTGTCCCATTACTGTCTTAAGGGTAGGTCTAAAGGTTAATGTTTTTAGCATTCATTTAGATTTATTTGCATGAAAAAGAGGACCCCAAGCTTGAAGGGCATTAGCTTTTGAACTCTGACTCTTCTCACAGCTGGCACCTGTTGCCTTCTGTTCTAGTCTCCCAGTTTTTGCCTAATCAGCTGAGGTAGAGAGAAACGGTGTGACTTCGCAAAGCCACGTAGAGTGTGACTAGAATGTGTTGTCTTCTTTAGTTTGCCCTCAAAGCTCCCAAATCCCCGTGACTCACAGCTGGAAAGAAACGTGTTAAATTTTAATTCTTTTTAATTTTTTAGACATACCCCATTCCTATAATAGATGTTGGACGTAAGTAATGACTATGGTAACAAATGTGTGTGGTTTTTCATATCAAGAAGGAATTATAGTTCGATTTCATTGAGGTTTTAGATAAAGTATTGAATTCATTTGACCAGTCTTGATATCGATATAGAGTTGGCATTCAAACAGAATTTAAACATAACTATAGATTCCTAAGTAACAGTGGTATATTTGAGAGCACCCATTAAGTAGTTGGCGTGTGAAAAAACAAAGCACCAAGGTATTAAGCTGTAACATGGGAACAGACAGAGTCACTCCTAACCATGTGCTTGGGTTAGGCTGTCACACTTTGCCTAAAAACTCGCCTTCTTGTTGCCACAAAGAAACAAGATGAAGGTCCTGAGAGCTTTTAATTTTTATTCCAGTATTTGTTATAAAATACAACTTTTAGATAACAAATATTCAAAAGAATAATAATATAATAATTATTCTTTAGTTGCTATTAAGCTTTAATAGTAATAAATGAAACTGTATCATTCAAAACAAAAAACCCAATTTCCTATAAATTATGTATATGATCTGTGAGAGGTGTTATTGTCCTTCTTACTCATGATGAACTGAGGTTTCGAGTACCTTTAGTACCCAGTCAGATCTCGTACGTGGCAATGACAGAGGCTAAGAGAGTCATTTGTTCTCCAGCGGGAACATTTGAAGATGTTTTTTGCAGATATATGTATTTCTCCATCTTCCAATGCCGTAACAAATAGCCTCATATCTGTGTTATGTGTGATTTGAAGTGAATGCAGAGGTTTCAAAAAACCAGACTCCAGTACATGGGAGTTTGTGGATGTGATTTCATTTGGATCTGTGTCTCTAGTCTAGTTTTTGTGTGCTAGAGGTCAGTTCTGAACTTTCTGTCATCTTCTAAAGAAGGATATGGATGCATAGATTATGCACCCTTACAATAACTGTCTCTGCGGAAGGGTACAGTCTTAGCGTCTGCTCTGTTTCCGGTAGGCTTCCCCAAATTAACTCTCACCCCCGTCCTATCCATGGTAATTTTATACTGTATCTCGGGGTAAGAGCTTGTTGTCTATCTATGGTGTGAGAGAAGACATCAAGGCCTTCTCTGCATTTGTGTGTGCCTATATTTTGTAGGCACATGGGGAAAGTAGCTGAAGGTTCAAGCCAACAGCATTCAAATGACCTGTGTGGATTTGGTAATAATTTTTGATAGGGATCTACAAGTAATGGAAGTATCTAAAGACTTACTTCTTGTAGGTATCAAAGCCATTCCGTGTCCTATCTTTTCAGTTCCGTCGTAATAAGGTGGTTGAAGCACGAGCGAAATGCTATCAAGTTCCAAACGTTGATACTGTTGCAGTGTGGGGCAGTGAGGGATGACGTTGAAGCTTAAAGAAATTGCACACTCTCATGTCTTTCTCTTCTCGCAAGTTGCAACAGGAACTTCTAGCCATAAAACAACAGCAAGAACTCCTAGAAAAGGAGCAGAAACTGGAGCAGCAGAGGCAAGAACAGGAAGTAGAGAGGCATCGCAGAGAGCAGCAGCTTCCTCCTCTCAGAGGCAAAGATAGAGGACGAGAAAGTAAGAGGCACCAGGGTAACAGACGCTCTCTCTTCCCGAATGGCAAGGAAACAATGAACCGTGGAAATAAGCCTGTCGAAACTGCCCTTGTCTAGTTAAAAGAATAACGTAGAGTCTAAAGAGCCCTTTCCCAACAGCCTTACAGAGTATAATGAGAAGTGAACACGGCATTGCCAAAGACGCAGGCGGGTTTCCTGGATTTTGTAAATACCATCACACTAAAGGGATGGAATGGAAGATTCAGTAATAAAGTTACGTTTACATGCTTTCATTTCTTCCATCTTCCTGGCCAGGAGTCATTGCTCTGAACACAGTACATACCACGCCTCCGCTCCCTTTTGTTGTTCTTAGACACAAGGCAGAATGTTTGCAAAATACTGGTCCACAAGAGGGAGACAGAGCCAAATAATTGCCCTCTACCCAGTCAGTTCAAACTCAGGTTGTTGCAAAGTTTAGTGTGTGTGTGCTGATTTGAACTGAAATTATCAACAGAATTGATTTGTTTAATAATCAAATGAATTTTAAAACAATGTAATTTTTTATCAAGAAAATCAGGAAAAGATCATTTTAATGTATTATAGTAATCTACAACACTCTCCAAGATTCCTGATTTAAAAAGAAATAAAATTAAAAACTAGTGATTTATTCCTATTTATTTGCTTATTTTGTCAGTACTGGGGATTGAACATAGAACTTCACAAATACTAGGCAAGCATTGTATCATTTAACTTCAGCCCCAACCCTCAGCAATTTTCTTTTGTAAACTCAAAGACAACTTGATGGCAGTTCTAGGAATTTTGTTTTTATAGAAATGATCCAAGAACTCATTGAAGGCATTTTGAAAATTTATAATGAAAGCAACAGTTACAACACGGGGCTCTGCCATTTCCTAAAGTCTATATAGATTTGGTTTTGCTTTTCTTTTAATAGGAAAACTCCATATGCTGTGGCCAGTGGTATTTCTTCATAACCATTGTTGAGTATTCTTGAGTAGTGAGATTAAGTGACCCACAGGCGGTGTCTCTCCCTGTGTGTGTGTTTCAGGGGCAGTGGCAAGCACAGAAGTAAAGCAGAAGCTTCAAGAATTCCTGTTGAGTAAATCAGCAACGAAAGACACTCCAACCAATGGAAAGAATCATTCCACGAGCCGCCATCCCAAGCTCTGGTACACGTATGTTCTGTGTTTGGCTGTTTTCATCCTCAGGGTAGAGAGCATGGGTTCTGTCTTTGGCTGACCTGGGCAGAAATCCTGAGCTTACCACTTCTGGGGCTTGTGTGGCTGCTAATAAGTGCCTAGAAATCTCTAAGGATCAGCCTTTCTCCCCATAAGAAAGGGACCACAACAGCACCTGCCTCCAGAGTTGCTGGGAAGTCCCGAGAAAAAAATGTAACAAAAGATATAGGTGCAAGCAGGGCTCAGTTAGCCTTAGCATCTACCACCGGGAGGGCAGGGAGGGCATTGTCTTCCTTACTGAATAAGTAACTGGCATGGGGGTAGAACCCAGGGATGGTTTTATATCCTCAGGTAGTTTCTCTGATATCTGTGCAGAATTTGTGAATGTTTAGGAGATTTGGGCTTATTTTTGTTTCACATGGATTAATATGAAATGGAAACCAGAGCTATTTTGGAAAAATTCAGGTGATTTTTGGTCTTTCCAAAAGGAAGATGGAAAAGGGGAGGGGAGGGAGGAAGATAAATAAACCCAAGCCTTTAGTGACTCCTTTGGCCCTGCCCACTCTTCCTCACTCCCTCCTGCCCCATGAAATCACAGTTTGGCTTCTGAGAGACATACAAGCTGACAGTAAGTTAAGTGAGAGATGGCTCAGCGGTTAAGAGCATTGCGTGCTCTTCCAAAGGACCCGAGTTCGATTCCCAGCAATCACATGGTGGCTCACAACCATCTGTAATGAGGTCTAGTGTCCTCTTCTATCAGGCATATATGCAAACAGAATATGTATCCATAATAAATAAATATTTAAAAAAAGATACATGTGCTATTGAAGTGTTCATGGAACCATGTTTCCCCGATCCAGCAGAGAGAGTACACAAAATACAATTCTTTTCTCCATGAGATAGGAACGTTTTCCAAAATCCCATCAAAGATTAGATATAAAAATCACATTTGCTAACAAGCGAGTAGATATTGGATTCCTTTCTCTCATAAATGTGTCTGTTGAATGGCCTTAAGGCTTTATGTGACCCTCTTTTTTTCCCAAAACGAAGGTACCAGTCAGAATCCAAAATATCTTAGACATCTGAACAATTGTGCCCCACATGCGTATGGGTTGACCTGAGAAACCAGCCAGTATCAGAAAACAGTCTGAAAGAAATATAATTTTGTTACCTTAAATCATCTGCATAGGAAGTGACTGATTGATGATGCTCTCAAAGTTAGCACATTTCAGGAAAAAAAAAACCATAATTTTCTAATGAGAAACAACTACTAGGGAATAATTTATCTACTGAAAATGCTTCAGCTGTTCCCTTGAGTGTATCCGACATGGCCCTCATGTCAGTAGTGATCTTCTCTTGTTTATATGTAATATAATTCCAGCTAATCATAAATCATTAATTTGAGGAATTAGCTATGTGGCTCTGGGAATTTTCCTTGAATTCTCAAAGAATCAGTTTCCGTCTCTGTAAAGAGGGCATAATAACACGTGTTGATGCTTTTGGCTAGTTTCAAGTATGTGAAATGAGCCATACATGAGTTAAGTGTTGAGAACGTAGTTCTCAGATAAAGACTTACAGTGGAGTAGTCAGTGTGGAAGTGGCCCTGTGCCCTGAGCGTTCTCTCTGTTGTGTGAGAATTGGGATTCTTGTGCACACTGGGTAGTTTGAGTTCAGTCCTCCAAATTCTTCTTCAGTAGCACAATTGCTTCCTTTTCAATTTATTCATTCCAGAAAAATAGCATATTTTTAAGTTAGTTTTCTATTGAAGAGGAATGTGCTTTCATTTTTTCAATAATTTATGTATTTTTACTTTATGTGTGTTGGTGTTTTACCTGCATGTTTGTCTGATCTTGGATTAAAGACAGTTGTGAGCTGCCATGTGGTTGCTGGGAATTGAACCCGGGTCCTCTGGAAGAACAATCAGTGCTCTTAACCCCTGAGCCCTCTCCAGAATGTGCTTTCTAATCCACACATTAAGATGGCCTGTAGGACTCAGGCCCCTGAGGCTCCAGGCTGTTGTCTCTTCAGTACAAAGGTCGTCCTTGGGAACATGGCTATGCCATCTGGGAGTAATGAGGTCTTTGGACGTGTTCACCTCCACCATGGTTGTTCGATAAAGGTGACTCCAAAGGATCAGAATGGTAACTGTTCTTGTTTGTTAGTTCGTTTTTGTAGTTTTTAAAAAGTATAACAATCTAAGTTCTTCTATCAAAGTGAAATTTCCTATGTGACTAAACGACCAAACACTGTTCTGTTTTACTGCAGTGAACTTGGATACATGAGGCTGTGGTTTGTAGACACTGGGGAGGGAGAACGTAATATACAGCTGAGTCACATGGACAGTGTCTGCAGCTGAGTCATGTGGACAGCGCGCTCAGCTGACTCCTGACTCGCTTGCCCTGGAATCCAGCATCATATAAACCCTCTTTGTTTGTTGTAGGGCCGCTCACCACACCTCATTGGATCAAAGCTCTCCACCTCTCAGTGGGACGTCTCCATCCTACAAGTACACACTTCCAGGAGCCCAAGACGCCAAGGACGATTTCCCCCTGAGAAAAACAGGTAAGTAGGCACAGCGAGGTCAACAATTACTTTTTCACGGCACACCTTCCTTTTGTTCTTCTCACTTCTTGATAGAAATGAAAGAATATGACGTGGACAGCGTCCACGTACATCCTTCACTCAGCTTCTTGAACCAGATGTGTCCACATGCACATGCACACGTGAGCTCCTGTACATAGTCAGAGAAACACAGGTGCGAGACTCCCTTTTTCTTATTGCTGCATGAGTCCATTCACTAGACAATTAAAGTATCTTTGTAAGATTGAAAAGTATATTGATTTCAATTAGCAATCAATGTTAGAATAAAGGAAAATAGGGATGTCGACCCCAGAAAAGTGTGACGTTTGTTCGTTTGAAGGATCCTATAGTGTCCTTCTTTTCTTTAACCATTTGCCTAAGCATGTCTAGTCAGAATATTCTGTCCAACACATTTTTTTAATTTTAATATTTCAAATATTGATATAGTAAGCATCAGTTCAGTCAATGTTTTCTTCTGAGAAAGTTTGCTCCCTAGGGTTCTCCAGACTCCTGAACTAAGTAAAAATGTGTCCTTATTAATTTCATGTATAAGGACACATGACACACAACCACACACATGGGAACATGCAGTAAGACTTGTCTGGAGGACTGTCACCATGGAGTTTTGTTTAGGATTTAATGGACAGTATCATCTCTAAATCATGTATATTTCTTTTCCCATCTTCTGTTCCTCTTGAATATCACTGACAAGTGATATTTAATGTGCATATATGCTCTTCCCACTATAGTCAATATATTTAAATAATAGATAAGGTTTATGTACAGTATGTTCTAAAGCTTTCAGTGTTTCAGAGACTGCAGCTTTTCAAAAGATTTAAAATATCCCACAGCTTCTAAACTGGCATTGATAGATAGTTGAAGCTATTGTATTTTACGCAGGTCTTATTGAGGGACTGTATCTCTGTAATTTGTGTATAAAATCCACAGAGTGGTGATTTCAAATAATTATATTCATTTTTTCCAAGCAATTTGGAGTAATTAAAATGGATGTAGATTGTACAAACACATGCTGGAGCTAATTTCTGTCAAATAATTTACCTGTAGCATAATGAAGATTTAAGAAGAAAATCAATTGTGGATAAGAATCTATTTCCTCTCATCCACTTTATATAGTCCCAGATGCAGGGAAAGAATGCTTAAGCTTCCCAAGGCAATCAGTGCGTTTTTATCTTTATAGGCTGGGGATTTTCATGTCTCTAGGATGTTAGACATAGTAGAACACTTCAGTAGGGTCCAGTGTAAAGGGAGGACTGGCTGAACTCCATGTATTTGTCTAAATTTTACGTTGCTACCCACATAGTGCATTACCTTTCTTGTGAGTAAAGGTCTCTAGGACAAAAGGAGGGAAGAGAAGAGTGAGGCTTTCTGTACTTCTCAACCTGGGGATTTAGTTTGGGGAAATTGATTCATAGAGGGTGTAGCACTAACAGCATTAATATTTGGCGACATGTGTGGGAGCTATTGACAACAATTCTATCAACATTCCCATAATCAGGGCAGACACTGTCATGAATAGCCCAAAACAATGACAAGAAGGAAAGAACATGGAGTCTGCTTGTGGCGGGAGGCTCCTAACAAGTGATGTATGTATTCAAAGACCTGTCCTCCGAGCACGTGGCCTGCTCTGTCCTCTTCCTGCAGAGACGTACGACACACGGACTTAGCTGAAGTGTCCTCCAGAGAAGGGGCACTGTTCTTCTCTGTGAAGAATGAAGATGAGCTGTTAATTTATTCTCAATGAAATTCCCGATCCACAACACAAACGTGTTCAGTGTGTATGAATCTGGGCACATATGTGAGAAGCTCTTTGTGACGTATCATACATGAGAACAGCCAGGGCCTGTCTTATGGTATATTTTCTGTAGCTGCCCAATATTTTAAATGTGTCCTTTTTCTGCTGAAAACCTGATATTTATGAAGTATCAGGCTGCTGATCTGCAAAAACCACACGTTTTCAAACATCCTAGTGTTAAAGTTCTTGAATAGCTGTTAATACTTTGATATCGCTATAGGGCTTCAGAATATCTCTGTTCAATTCCTGCTGTCTGATGAAGAAAAGTGTGATGTAATAAATCACAGATGTTTTCTGCATACAAAACCACTCAGAGATGCTCTTCACTAACTACAAATAGGCAGGGCTCTTCAGTATCCAGACATCGATCCTCTTGGTACATGTCAACTGTGTTGTGAGAAAACTGAGACCTACCTTGGTCTTTCATAGGTCACTGAAAAATTTCAATAATATTTCAATTATTGACTAGTACTTTAGCATTTGTTATATTCTCCTGACTCAAATGGTATTCTGAAAGATGTAAACTATAAAATTATGCCATGGCAAAATGTAAGTGGTGAACGGGGAAAGTGCTGAAGGTGACTCTTGTGTCGTACAGTGACATCACATTGAACTGAACCCCGAGTACTGCCGTAGGCATCCGGAAGTACCAGGACAGCCAACATAGAGTCGAGCTTCATCACGACAGCCAGATTTCCAGCTTCTGCTGTCTACTTGATATTACCCCAGACTTAGCGGAACTTGATAAATGAACCAGTTCTGTCTTTTGAACTGCCTGTAATACTACATCATTTTTATTTCCTTCACCCCGATCGTTTATCGAATTGCTTGTGTGTATTCGTGAGGTTTAGAGGATAAAACTGGAATTAGAGTAAGGAAAGCCTGCACAGCTTTAAATAGATTAAGGTAGTCCTGGAGCTGTTCCTGCAGCAGTAAGGACAATTTTGAAGCTCTCCGAGCTTTCTGGACACCCCTGTCTTCAGCCACGAACAACCCAGGAATAGACAGCTACAGAATTCTTAGTTTCTCACAGGAGTCTGAACTTTCTCATGCAAGGTGGACCCTTGCTTCCCTCCTCTTGGGAGGGCTGGAGTTGCCCCCAATCTGTTTTAGCTAATAAAACTCATTTACTTTCATTTTAAAAATTTGTTTATTTATTTTTATTTTATGTGCATTCTCTTTTGAGTGCATGTATGTTTGTGTGAGGATGTCAAATCCCTGGAACTAGAGTTACAGACATTTGCAAGCTGCCATGTAGGTGCTGGGAATTGAACCAGGGTTCTCTGAAGGATCACCTAGTTTTCTTAACCAATGAGCCATCCCTGTAGAGTTAGGTTTATTTCTTTTAATTCTTAAATGAATGCCTGTGTGTGACTGGCTTTGAAGTTGGAAATACCATATTTTTGCCCATACTTAATTTCTTTGTTCCATAACACAAGAGTTGGCTTATGGAGACACTTGGAATATGCGTTGGTAGAGAGTATTGTTACTGCTATGGAACCAGATTCCCCTCCTTCTACTGCACACCACGGGACTGATAAGAAAGTAGGGAGCTTCTGGGGCTTGACACTTTCAAAAGATTGCATATTTCTCACAGAGATACTACATGCCTGCTGACTTTGAACTGACCTTCAAAACCATTTAATTTGGCTTATGTTCCAGTGAGTATGTGCATATGTTTCATAAAATATTATGAAAAAAATATCTGGAAGTTTTATACTCTATTATATTACTGAGGTCTTAGGCAGTGAACTTTGCCTTTCTTTGAATGTTATAATCTTTCCATTTTATACTTCTGAACAAAGCAAGCAGGCAGGGTGTGTTAACCTCTTAAACTGCACGAGCCATATAAAGCCTGGCTTTGGCTAAGAAGACTGTTCCAGTCCTACTGAAACACTCATTTTAATGGTCAGAAACACTGGAATATGACTCAAAGGTGGAAGGGATCCAAACATAAGTTAAGGTTGCAGAATGCTAATGGTATTTTCCACTTAGAGTAAATTGGAAAGGGGACAGTTGAGACAATGTCCAGCTTGGTAAATCTGATGCAGCAGACACTGGTCAGGATGAGGAACCTGGGTGACCTATTCAAGGCATTGTAATCCAAAATTAACAGAAGGATGTTTCCTTAAAAGATCTTAAAAAATCTCTCTCTCCCCCCTCTCCTTGTCTCTACCTTCTTCTCTTCCCCCCTTTCATAGTTTTGCATATGCCTTGGCATTTCAGAATTTGGCATGAAGTCTAAAAGAAGCGCCATGGTTAAATTTCAAGCCTTTACCATATAGGGAGATCTGTACTGTGTGTTTTCAACTCAGCTTTTTTTTTAAATCAATAAACTTAGTTTTTAGAATAGTTTTTGACTTACATATTGAACAAATAACATGTTGCACCTATATTGATCCCATTATCAGGTTCTTTTAGTATCAACCAGTCTGTGCATGTGTGTAAAATTGGTGTGCATGTGATATTTGTGTGCATATTTTTGGACACAAATGTGCAGGTGTGTATTCACGTGTGTAGAGGTCAGAGGTTGACACTGGGTGTATTCCTCCATTACTCTTCACTTTATTTACCAGGACAAAGCCTGTTGATGAACCCGGAACTCTTCAAATCCACTTGTCTAGCTAGGCAGCTAACTCTAGGCATTTCCCGTCACTGCCTACCACTTGGAAGTTTAGTGTAACCTAATTCTATGTCATCTGTCTGTCATTATAGCTTTACACAGAATTACATCACTTTTAAAACACTGTTTCTCACCTATTCCTACCAACCCTAAAGTGGGTATGTAGTAATTATTTTAATATCTTTCTTGGGCTGGAGAGATGGCTCACTTGGCTATTTTTGCACAGAACCTAGGATCAGTTCTGACCAACACATGATGGTTCATCATCATCTGTGAGTCCAGTTCTGTGAGGATCCAGTGCTATCCTCCGGCATCCATAAGAACCAGGCATGCACGTGGCACATATACGTGCTTGCCAGAAAAACCCTCATTCACAATTTTTATTTTCTTTTTTTTTATTTTTTTTATTTTATTGAGAATAAGAAAAAAAAAGTTTCCGCCTCCTCCCAGCCTCCCATTTCCCTCCCCCTCCCCCCTCTCTTCTCCCCCTCCCCCCACTCCTCTCACCCTCCCTCTCCTATCCAAAGAGCAGTCATGGTTCCCTGC